AGAGAGAGACAGAAAGTGAGAAAGCAAGCCGCCAGGCCCAGGACTCGAACCATGGTCAGTCATGTGGGAACCCAGCATCTTAACCACTATACCGCCTGCGGTCCTTATTTTAGGCTTACTGTTAAGCTCATGCTTCATGCTGTCTGTACGTTCTGTGTGTGGGTTTATAGCTGCTATTGTGGATGTGATCTTATTCTTTTAGGGTATTTTTTTAGGGTATATTCTTTCAGGGTATTCTCAGTGGTTCCAGTCATCTGTATGAAAATGCAAATTTTCCTGCTTGTGTTTTGCAGTTCTGTGTCTGCCCTCTTATTCATCACTGTCTTTTGTGTGGTTCTTCCTGGGGTTTGCGCTGTGTGGGAATGAACAAACTGGGACAGGACGCCAACTTGTGGCAGAATGTGGAAAGGCACCAGCAGGGCCTGTCCCATCCTGGAAGGTGATGGGGATGACACCGAGTCTCCCATCGCCACTGTCCCAACTGGAGCCTGGTCACAACCTGCTGTGCAAATGCCCTCAGGGCCGCCCCGTGTTGGGACCGGGACACAGAATGCGTAGGCAGCATCCCGCCCCACTCCTCCAAACGCAAATACTCACTCTCGATTTTCTTTATCCTCATTTCCCAGGGGATGAAGATGACCACAAAGTTACAGGCGAGGCGCGCCAGTTTCCGCCAGAGCTGGAGAGAGAAGGATCGGAGAGTGCCACGTTCAGGAAGACGGCCATGCCCATGGGGCACGAGGGTCCTGAATGGAGGGGCTCCCAGACACACTGGCTGGTACCGCAGTTACCACAGCCTTTTAGCAAAGTCAGGCTAAAGTACACTCCCTCGTCCTCTCTGTGCTCCTGACAGGTAGGAGGACACCTGCCTTGGGCTCTGAGCTGTGGGTTGTGTGTTGAGGTGCATATTATTTTTTCTCTTCCCTTCCTTTCATGTCTTTTTTTTTTTTTTAAGACGTTTTTGCTACAGGGAACATGTGCTCACTAGAGAGAGAGAGAGACAGTGAGGGGGAATGCGAGAAATCACCCTCCCCAGTGGGGGTGGTCATGCTATAATCCCTTCTCCTCCATTCTCCTCCTGGATCTTGGGCATGTACTCACATGTACCTAGCATAATTTTCAAGCCATCCAATCTGGGACTAGAACCACTGTTGACCGTGTGGGAATCCAGTGACATAACCACTACGCCACCTGCCGGCCCCAAGGTGCACATTCTCTAGGGTCACAGCTTGGCTTATTCATATTATTCCTGGTGCAGGGTCTAAGAGCAATGGAAATTATGAGAGGAATGCCATCTAAACACACCTACTTGACCTGCCCACAGACCTTAGGTAGCTCTGGGAGTGGGGCCAGGAATCCTCAGGGCTAACTCACTGCCCAGTCAGGAACAGTTCACATCCCTGTTGAGGACCAAGGGTCTCGAACCTGCCCTGAAACTGCCCACATCTTGCAGTTTCCCAAGCTCTCTCATGCTCCAAGCTGCTAGGGATAAAGTCTGGGGATGTGTCTTGTGAGTTTAGGATGCAAATGCTAAAAAAAAAAACGGTGTTTTGTTTTGTTTTTCCGGCTCTGGCTTCCAACCATGTCGGTGGGTTGTACATCTTAACACCCAAATAATCTGGGTGTGTGTTGGAAGCAAATGATATCGCTGCAGAAAGAGGAGTTTCAAATGTAATTACCGCACGCCCAACGCTAAGACAGCACACGGCCCCAGCACAGAGCAGATGATGATGTCATTCTGGCCCTGTCTGCGGAGGCCAGAGAGGCTGCTAGGAAAGTCTGAATTTTATCAGAAGTTGGAATTGCTTATTTGCTCGTGATTCAAGACTCAACTCAAACACGGCCACTCCCATGAAGATGCCACAGGAGTGTCTGCTGCCAGAAATAAATTCTGCCATCTGTCACCTGCTCAAACAACAGTGGTGGTCTCTCCTACACGTGTCTATTAGCTCCTCCCCGGTGTTACCTTCATGGCGTTCCCCTGGCTTGTCTCCTAGAGCAGAGAGGAAGCCCGCGGGTTTCTTACTGTTTATTTCTTAGTATTATTATTATTTTTTTAGAGAGATTTTTGCTATATGGTGAGTGCACTCACCAGAGAGTCAGAGACAGACAGAAATCAAGAAATCACCCCCCAGGGAGGATGGCCACACCACAATCCCTTTCCCTCTCAGGATCTTGGGCATGTGCACACATGTGCCTGGCGTGAGTTTTAACCTGCCGAGTCCAGGACTTGAACTACAGTCGACTATGTGGAAGTCTAGCAATGTAACCATTACGCCACCTGCTGGTCCCTCTTGTCATTTATCCCTAACAGTGTCCAGAGGCAGGGTTGCATGAAGTCCTTTGGCAGGGGTTTGGGGTTGGGGAACATTTCAGTCCCTGGCTTGTTTTACGTTTTGAAGTCTAAGAAACACGGGATGGAAGGAGGCCAGAGACCTGAGTTCGAATCCCGGCTCTACATCTTCCCTACTACATACCCCTGGAGAACTTCCTTCCTTTACTTGGGATCCCACTGCCTCATTTGTATGATGAGTGAGACTCAAATTAGTGGCACTCAGGGTCCCCTATAAATTTAAAATTGTGTGAAAATTTCAATGCATGAGATAGGGCAAAGCAATGCAACTTCCCTTTTTTTAGTTGAATGAGTTTTTATACTAATTTATTTTTATTTTTTCCTTCATTTTCTTGTTTACTTATTCTTTTTTTAAAACTTTCAATCACTGTACTTTTTTTTTTTTGAGAGGTCTGTGCTGTAGGGTGAATGTGCTCACCAGAGTGAGAGACAGAGACAGAAAGCATGAAGTCATCCCCCCTGGGGGAATGTAATCCCTTCTCCTCCATTCTCTTCTTGGGATTTTGGGAATGCATGCACATGCACCCGGTATTAATTTTAAGCAGGCAGTCTGAGGACTTGAACTGTGAGTGGCCATGTTGGCGGTCCAGAGCCTTAACCACTATACCACCTGCTGGTCTGAATCACTATACATCTTCACAGCATATAAAATGAATTTTCCCAGCATGAATACAAGATATATTAGCCCAGTCAAAGATATTATCATACATATTATCATCCGCAGATAATTTTCCGTTTTTGTGTGGTTTAATGTTTTGCTTTCTTCCCCTTGATTCCTTCCCTCCCACCCCACCCCTACTTCCTGCCCTCCTCCCACACTGTCTCCAGTACTCAAAGTTGCTCTCACGCTTTTCTAGCAATGCGGCTTCTGCAGGCCAGAGATGCAACGTCCTGTCATCTGATTACTGGTGTTTGAGAAGTCAAGTTCCCTGAACTCAGTGTAGACAGCACCGCGTGGGGTGACCTCCAGTGTTCATTCTATTCATGACAGTCTACACTAGCGTTGCCTAAACGAACATCTTAAAGGCAACCGTGTTTGAAAAAGCTGATTGGTTGATGATTGAGATTTGGTAAAGCATGGGGAGAAATGCTGAGTATCTCTGAGGATTGGCACTAAATCTCCTTCGCAAAGACCTTGAAACTTTGGAATGATTTAAGACTAACTGCAAAGCAAAAACAAAACGAAGCAAAACCAAACTTGGAAGAACTAAGCCCTAGTTGTGGGCTTGACTGTTGAGTTTTGGTGACAAAGAATGAGTTGAGTATTTCCTCTTTGGGAAGGTGTATAAATTTACCTGGGATAGAGGCCAGCATGAGGCTTGGTGGTTAAGGCACTGGACTCCCACATGGCCAACTGCGGTTTGAGTCCTGGACCTGGTGGCTTGCTCTTTCTTTCCTTCTCTTTCTCTGTGTCTCTCTTTGGTCAAATTAAATAATCATAATAAATAAAATGAAATAAGTAATTAGTTTTTAAAGACTACCTGGAAAACATGAAATAATTATTTTTTAAAGACTACCTGGAAAACATATGACCAAACACCATGTATTACAAATTATGAAAAATGTATCCATTCACAGTACACGCTGAGCATCCAGGCTGTGTTTTCCTGCAGATGCAGGGAGTGAATAAGGCATGCAAGATGCCAGCTGGTGTGGAAATTTCATATGGGTAGAGGGGACATAGGGACAAACAGGTCAATGTCACAGTGGGACACCATCCTTTAGGACTAGGTAGCAGGCCCTTTTAAGTGAAGAGTTCAGGAAAGGCCTATCTGGGAGATCGTACTTGACCCGAGGCTTGAATGAAAAGGAATCAATACTTTAGAAGAAAATTAATTGGAAAAACACCTGTCTAGGAGGAGAAACAGCCAGTAGAAGTCTGTGGGCTAGCATGAACAGGGGCATTTTACAGAAGAGAAAGGAAGAGAGAAGAGGAGGATGAAAATCTAGATTACTTCCTTATTCTTAAAGCTTTGCTTCTACTAATTCAGTCCAGTATCAAATTACACCTGTAACTTATACTGACTTCACTGCTATTAAAAGCCCTAAGTGGTTTTCATGGTTATAGGTATTACAAGTTGTCTGAACACAAGTGAAAGATCTCATCTTATTTTGCCAGTGTTCTCCTGTGGCATTTCATACAGTTTACTCAGAGAAGCAAGAACATGGCTTGGCAGTACATAAGCTTAGAGATGACCATTTATTCTTGGGGTCAAGTGATGGCACAGCTGGAACAGGTCCTGGGTTTGTGTCCCAGAACCTCCTTGGCCACACTGGGTGCATGTGCACTTGGCCCATGATCTGTCCAACTGAGACTGGGGATGGATCGTGGCATGGAGACCCTGTCATCATTCCCTGTCTTGCTCTCTCTCTCTGCTGCTCTTGGAAGAGATAAATAAGTAAATAAACTTAAAAAAAAATAATTTATCCCATGAGCTCCATCATAGTGTCAAAGAGTTATGCATGGTTTTGTTCATAAAAACGGATTGGAGGTCTCAAGAAGATTTCAGAGTAGGAAGAAAAAAAATGCCAAGGTAGACCCTTGATTTGTGAATGGTTTATAATTTCTCAGACATGTAAAATTTACCACTGGTTTTAATTTAAACTCTACTTAGAATAGTTTTGGTTCATGGGTCCAGCAGTTAGCGTAATGGCTATGTTGCTGCACTCTCATATAGCCGACTGCGGTTCGAGTCCTGGACCCAGTGGCTTAAACTCACACCAGGCGCGTGTGCATGCGTGCCCAAGATCCTGAGAGGAGAATGGAGGAGAAGGGATTGCAGCGTGACCATCCCCCCTGGGTAGTGACTTCTTGCTTTCTGTCTCTCTGTCTCTCTCTGTCTTTCTGGCGAGCACACGCGCCCTATAGCAAAAAAAGAAAAAGAAAGAAAGAAAGAAAAAGAACAATTTTGGTTCAGAGATTTTGAAAAGCATATATCTGTCAACTTTTATTAAAACAATTTTTAAAAACTGGAATATTTGACAATCATGCAGATAGCATGAGGCTAACGTTCTTTCATTGTGGATGGCAATATATTAGAGGTCATCAGAAAAGCCAGGATGCATATTTGCACAGAAAAATGTAGAACATAGTCATGACTTCTCTGATGATCCAATAAATGATCAAGGCTTTTGGAAAATAATTTTCAAATATTTATCAAGAACCCACCAAAATGGGTTATGGGTTTTTTTTTTTTTATTGTATAATGGTTACAGTTTTGATGTTCATACTAATAAAGGAATTGAAAATGATAGGAAAATTTATATGTGCAAAGATGTTCCTTTCAGGGCTATTAGTAATAATAAAAAAAATGAGCAACTTTAATATATATTAGCCAGTAAATGACTAAATAAGCCAAAGAGCATTTATCTGATAGAATATTACATAGTCATTGAAAATGACCAGCGTGAAAACTACGTGGGAAAATTCTTATATTACAGTGTTAAGTGAAAAAGAAGCAGGACAAATTTTTCATACACTGTACTTACTGTGATATAAAAATTCTACATGTATGCAATGTCTGACGAGATTTTTAAGAAGATATTATATTGGAGATTTGGGGACTAGAAGTCGTTCTTTTTCCTTTGTTTTCCAAGCATTTATGGAATGTCTTTATAAAAAGATACTTTTTTTTTTTAAGTTTACTTATTTCTTCCATGAGAGAGAGAGAGAGACGGGGGAGAGAGAGACAGACAGACACAGGTGCCCCGACAGGGTTTTCATGCCATAATCCACCCCTGGCCTCGGCCAGCCTGGCTCATGGGCATGCATGCATGCACATACCCAGCATGCACCGGGAGGCCTTGGGACACAAACCCAGCACTTCCCGTGCGCCTCCAGCATCTCAGAGCGCTGTGGCCACTGTATCACTGGCTGGCTCTAGTAACAGATCATTTCAACGTAAACTAAAGCTTAACTTTAGGGAGCTGAATGGGAAAAGCAGCAAGTCAAACCCTTGGCATTGTTTTTTAAAGCAAGCATTGGAATATGCCTGTAATTTTCTCACGATAAGGGATGCAGCTGTATACAGGAACACAGTGGATAAAGCGTACACCTATGGATGGGATTAAGTCAGAAAAGACTCTAGATTGTTCTTACAAAGGATGATATCCTTCTCCTGATGAAATAGACTCACCCAGAGTCACACAGTTGGTCAGTGATGGCATCTAGGACTAAAATCTAGGTTTGAGGCCTTCATCCTCCCCAGGGTATCGTCCCGTTTTTCAGTTATTAATGACTGGTCTCCCGATCTGTATGGGAGGGCAGGCACAGTGGCCCGCGCAACCTTCCAGCCTTGAGGACACACACGGGTGTGCTCCTTACCTCTGCTCCTGCTGCCTGGTAGCCTCGGGTCCTGGTCAGCCTCCCTTCAAACTTGAGAATAATCTCCTTCGCTCTTCTGAGGAAGAAAAACATGGCGGGGCTAAATGGTGGCATGGCTACCATGTGATAATCTGTGACGCTGAACCCCCATGGCAAGGTTCTCAGCTGGCATCCCAGGGCCTCCCTGTGCACATCAGGTGCAAGACCACGGGCTGGCTGAAACTGACCCTTCAAACTTGAGAATAATCTCCTTCGCTCGTCTGAGGAAGAAAAACATGGCGGGGGCTAAATGGTAGCATCACTACCATGTGATAATCTGTGACACTGAACCCCCATGGCAAGGTTCTCAGCTGGCATCCCAGGGCCTCCCTGTGCACATCAGGTGCAAGACCACGGGCTGGCTGAAACTGAGGCTGGGCGTGATGTGCAGGTCCTTTGGGGATTATCTCTCGTCTTCTCTCTTTCTCTCTCTTCCTTTCATGGAATAGGTAAATAAATTAAGAAAACAAAAATATTTTGATGAACACGATTCTATCAATCTTTGCAACAAATTTGAAAACGCATCGGAACTAGATCACTGTGGCTAGCAGGTGGCACAGGGGTCACGGCACTGGACTCCCACGTGGCCCACTGTGGTTCAAGTTCCCTACCCGGTAGCTTGAAACTCCTGTCGGTGCATGTGTGTGTGTGTGCCCAAGATGCCGAGAGGAGAATGGAAGACAAGGGACTGTGGTATGGCTATCCCCACTGGGGAGTAATTTCTTGCTTTCTGTCTCTCTCTGTCTCTGTCTCTCCAGTGAGTACCCATGCCCTACAGTAAAAAATCCATTTAAAAAAAAAAAAAGAGGTTACCCAATGAAGGAGAATGACTACTGTGGGAAGGTGGAGCTACACAATATTTCATTTCCTAACTTTCAGTAAGCAGAAAACGCTTTTATTTTATTTATTTATTTGAGAGATTTTTGCTATAGGGCACATGCACTCGTCAGAGAGACAGGAAGCAAGAAATCACCCCCCAGGGGAGATGGCCACGCCGCAATCCCTTCTCCATTCTCCTCTTGGGATTTTGGGCACGCACGCACACACGCCTAGGCGTGAGTTTCAAGCCACTGGGTCTGGGACTTGAACCACAGTCAACTACGAGGGAGTCCAGCAACTTAACCATCACATCATCTGCTGGTCCCAGAAAACTCTTTTACAATTCTTTCTCTTTGACTTTTATTTAAGTAGAGGAATGACTCCAGTGTGGTAAATTAATACCCAAATTCATGACAGCTGCATTGTTGAAAGTCCTTCTCTGACTCTGGGCCTTGCTTGGGAAGCTTCGGAAATCCTGGCGGCTGGCACTCGGGTATCAGGGCCTCGCTCAGCCCCCTACCTCGTGCGGTCAGTTCTCAGGACGTGAAAATCAGACCTAGCCTCAGAGGCTGCTTTGAGAAAAGGGTGGTGACCAGCTAATGCAAACACGGGGGCTGTGTCCCCACAGCTGCGAGCACCTGACTCTGCCCACACAAACAGGGCTTTGCTGAGCTGACCGGGTATCGCCGCCAAACAGTGTTTCAAAACGGACTGAGTTCATTGGGGTGACCAGTTACACCCACACCTAAATGAACAACAGGAATAGAAAATGAATGGGGCCAGAGGGTGGTGTGGCACATAAGGGCACTGGAAGCCCGTGTGGCGATGGCAGTTTGAATCCTGGACCTGGCAGCTTGCTTTCTCGAACTCTTTTACAATTCTTTCTCTTTGACTTTTATTTAAGTAGAGGAATGACTCCAGTGTGGTAAATTAATACCCAAATTCATGACAGCTGCATTGTTGAAAGTCCTTCTCTGACTCTGGGCCTTGCTTGGGAAGCTTCGGAAATCCTGGCGGCTGGCACTCGGGTATCAGGGCCTCGCTCAGCCCCCTACCTCGTGCGGTCAGTTCTCAGGACGTGAAAATCAGACCTAGCCTCAGAGGCTGCTTTGAGAAAAGGGTGGTGACCAGCTAATGCAAACACGGGGGCTGTGTCCCCACAGCTGCGAGCACCTGACTCTGCCCACACAAACAGGGCTTTGCTGAGCTGACCGGGTATCGCCGCCAAACAGTGTTTCAAAACGGACTGAGTTCATTGGGGTGACCAGTTACACCCACACCTAAATGAACAACAGGAATAGAAAATGAATGGGGCCAGAGGGTGGTGTGGCACATAAGGGCACTGGAAGCCCGTGTGGCGATGGCAGTTTGAATCCTGGACCTGGCAGCTTGCTTTCTCGAATTCATTCTCATCTCTCTCTCTCTCGGGAGCACACTCCCTATAACAAATCCAAAAATAATAATGATAGTAAGTAAAATAAAATGAAAAAAAATTGAAGTGTTGATGCCCTGGGACAGACTGAAGTCAAAGATCCTTAGAGATGAGGACCGCCTTCGAGGTACCCCAGCCATGTACCACCCCGGGGCACAGACCTCGTTACCCATGGCCTGTCACCCTCCCCTTAATTACACTCAGTGTTGAAGAGCTCAGTGCTTCTGAATCGGTCTGACAGCTCCACGTGGTTACGCACGGGGTGTCTTCGTATGTGCATTTCAAGAGACTTTTCAGTACCACCCACTGGTTCGGAGTCCTCTCTTAGGAGACATGAGGAAGATCTCTTCCGAACATGGCCGACCAGAGTACCAGGTTTTGGACCTCTCTCTCCCACCACTGCTGCAGCCCCATTGTCCCAGCCCAACAGATGTTCTGGCTTTCTACTGGTCAGAACTGGAAGTGCAGGTACAGGTGACGGCTGAGGTCCTATGCTATCCCATGATTACCATCTATTTTTGCTACAAGCATCTAAAAAACAAAGCCTATTGGGTCAGCAGGTGGTGTGGTGGTTAAGGCTCTGGACTCCCACATAGTCGATCGTGGCTCGAGTCCTGGACTTGGTGGCTTGGTTTTTCCCTTTCTCTTTCTTAATCTGGTGAGCATACATGCCCTATAGCAAGTTTAAAAAAATAAATAAATAAAATTAAAATACATAACTCTAAACAAAATTTAAAATTAAAAAAAAGTCTATTAAAGCCAAGTCACATGTATATATGTATATATGTGTATATATGTGTATGTATACATGTATACGCACACACACACACACACACACACACCCCTTCCTCAACCCCTAAAAACATTTGGCACACCTGTTTGGGGCCAAGCATAGTAGCATACAGGTACATAAAGCAGTCGCTGCCCTGGAAGGGGTCACTACCTAAGAGGGACAAAGGAGAGACAATGACCAAGAGGGAGCCACAGAGGGTGCTCAGGTGCTGACGTGGCAGGGAGATGGCCCCGTGGCACAGCCATGTCGACCCCACAAGCACCGACCACCTCGTTCTCTGCAGGAGAGCCCAGTGTGCTGTCCTCTGTGTCCGCATCGCTCTCTTTCTCAAAGCAGTCAGGGTCACGCTTGCTGCACTGAGGCACCAGGATGAGCTTCAGTGGGTCCAGTGAGTGACTCTCTGCTCCAGTAGCTTCTCAAGGATGGACAGGGGACGTGTGTGACAAGAGGGAGACAAATGGAGGTCCTCGAAGGGCAAGCTGCTCTCTGAGAGCCTGACCGCGGACTGGCCGCATGACGGTGTTGGCCATCTTGGGCTCTGGCTGAGCCATGTGGCCAATCAATATGGCGGAAGGCCTGGTTTGTTCCCTTCGTTCCTGACGTGCCTTGACAGGAAAGTTACTGTTCCGCCTTCAAGGTTTAAAAGACTTAACCTCCACTTTTTCTTTCTTTCTTTCTTTCTTTTAATCCCAGAGGATGCATGTGCACTTATGAGAAAGGTTAAGAGAGAAAGCACCCTCCAATAGGATCTTCTCATGTGCTGCAATCCCCTTTCCTCTATTGTCCGTCCTGTCAGGATCCTGGGCACGCCCACATGTACTTTTCAACTTGCCAGGGCCATGACTCAAACCCTGGGTGTTTGTGGCTGTGTGGGGTCTGGCTTCCTCTGTGTAGTGCTTAAGTGCTGCACTTCAGAGCGGCCCCTGAATCTCCCGTTTAGATAACCATCAGTTAGCACTGTCATCAGCATCGTCATGGGGCACGGCCACACCACAATCCTTTCCATTTTTCCATTCTGTCAGAATCTGGGGCATGCACACGCATGCACCTGGTACATTTTTCAAGATGCTGGGGCCAGGACTTGAACTGCAGTCAGCCAGGTGAGAGAGCTGGCTCTTTTATTTATTTATTTAAAGAATTATCCATTTTTAATTTTTATTTAGTATTACTATTACTTTTTAATTTGCTATAGGACATGTGTGTTCACCAGACACAGACAGAGGGACAGTGAGAAAGCAAGCCACCGGGTCTGGGACTCAAACCGTGGCCAGTCATGTTTGAGTCCAGCACCTTAACCACCTTGCCACTTGCTGGTTCCAGAATCTGGCTCTTTTAACCACGAGGCCATTTTTAAAATGAAGCATGGGGACAGCAAAAATCCTGAACAAATCTTCCAGAATATACAGTTCCAGAAAGATCTCATGACAAACATTTGCTGTAGACGCAATTCTTAAAACTTCGGATGAGACGCATGCCTTTTACTTTTTAGATTAATGACGCTAAAGATTATTTTGGTCAAATTCTTATGCTTTCATACCCGACAGCACTGAACGTGGGGCCAGAAATCTAGGTTGAGAGCTTAGTTCTAGCACTCAGTAGCGGGGTGTAGCTTGGGTTAGTCTCTCCGTGTCTCTGAGGATTGGTTTTCTCATCTGCAGAATGGACGTCGTGCCATCCAAACTCGAACAAATGGAAATGCTGAGCTGACAACAGGCATGGAAGGAAGCAGAGGACAGCTATTTGGAAACTACTGAAGGTGAAAACTGTGGATGACCTTAGCTATCGACTGTGGCCAACCGAGGCGGGGACTGGCCAGGCTGGCAGGACGGGTCCAGGGTGGAAATCTAAGAGAGGAACAATGTGATGGGAAAGAAACGCAAGCCCAGTAGGTGACAGCCACGGAGAGAAAGGGTGATACAGGGGGACCAGCAGTTGGCGTAATGGCTATGTCGCTGGACTCCCACGTAGTCGACCGCGGTTCGCGTCCCGGACCTGGTGGCTTAAAAGTCACGCTGGGCGCGTGTGCGTGCGTGCCCAAGATCCCGAGAGGAGAATGGAGGAGAAGGGATTGTGGCATGGCCATCCCCCCTGGGGGGAGATTTCTTGCTTTCTGTCTCTCTGTCTCTCAGTGTCTGGCATGCGCACATGCCCTATAGGAAAAAAACCTCTCCAAAAAAAAAAAAAGAAAAAAGAGCGATACAGACTGAGACGAGAGTGCTTCTGTCCACACAGTGCTGCGTGAGGACTGGGCAGTGTCTGCTTTCTCAGGAACGCTCCCCCTGGAGGCCCCAGTGGTACAGGCCATCTGGACTTTTCTGCTAACTCCCTGGGCGGTGACCCCAGCCTCCAGCATCACTCGTTCTGTTTAGTGAGCAGCTATTATATACGCCACTGAACCCTCCCACGGTGCATCTCATGGGCTCCTTAGTACGCTGCTGTGGGTGACCTGACTGGAGCATGCAGGAAGGGGACCCGAGTCCATGGTTAACCGAGGGCCTTGCCTGCGGAAACCAGGGGTTCGGAGTTTTTCACAGCACCCTCAATGCTCAACTGTTGACACTTTTTAAAACTGCTACTTGGGGCTGGCGGGTGGCATGGAGGATAAAGGTGCTGGATTCCCACACGGCTGCCTACAGTTTGAGTCCCGGACCTGGTGGCTTGCTTTCTCACTTTCCTTTTCTCTCTCTCTTTCTCTCTCTGTCTCTGGTCAAATTAAAAAAACAATAACAACAAATGGAATTCAATAAATAAATCATTCTTTTTAAAAGAATGTTGCTGTAGGAGGCAAGAGCTATTATTCATCACTACCCCTTCAACTTTAAAGAGAAAGAAACTGCTCTTTAGAAAAATTAATAGAATTACCCAGCATCACATGGTGAGAGATTGGTAGAGGGAATATTCGAACTCAGGCCATCTGTCTGCAAACCTATAGCACTTAATTACAGACAGACTCTCTGTGACTACGTAGCATCGTTACCTGCCTTCTGTAGATGTTTTTCCCTGCAGAGGGAGGTGATAGCCAAATAGCTATCATTTCTTCTTTATTTTAGCTTATTCCCTGTCTGCAGTGAGTTTGGGACAATGTTGAAATCCAGTGTCTGGAAAGGAATTGAAGACCAAAAATTCTCCACCAATGCGCGTACCTAACACAGATACACAGGCATACAGAACCCCCCCACGCATGCGCGCGCACGCACATACACACACGCACACACACACACAAACTGATTAGCTGGGCCAGCTAGATAGCAGACAGCCTCTGCGGTTTCTCGAAGTCAGGGCCACAGAGAGCGATAACCCTGGGTTATGGGCAGGGAGGGGTGGATATGGGAAGGCACACCTGTGGTGATCAGTCCTTGCCCTCGAGGCCCTTACCTCAATGCCCTCAGCTTTTGGCCCATGGTCCAGGGTCTGCAGCGAATGTTCGCCATGAGATCTTTCTGGAACTGTATATTCTGGAAGATTTGCTCCGGATCGTTGCTGTCCCCGGCTTCCTCAGCATTAAAGCTGTCATCCAAGTTGCTGAATGGATCAGTGCATCAGGGAGAAATCTGATTAGAAGGACGGCTTCCAGCAAAAAGCATCTTGCCCTGGGCAAACTCAGCGCCTCACGCCCCCAGGTCATCTGAATGCAGAGTGTGTGTGTGTGTGTGTGTGTGTGTGTGTGTGTAACAGGGGCTCCAGAGAAAATCTGGCAGTGTCAGCAGCCCACTGAAATCAATTTATTAGATTCTATTACTTCTATTGAGTCAGTGAAAGATACTTTCTCAGAGCGAAAGATACAAGATTCAAAAGGGAGCCTGAGCATGCTTGCATGTGATTTGATTCCCAGGAGCAGCAATGTGGGTGGGCAAAGGAATTTCCTTTACATAATCAGCTAATTTTAGAAACAGGGCTCTTCTTTGTTCCCTAACTTTGAAAGTAAAAACAAAACAAAACAAAACAAACTGTGGCTACCTGGAGACCCTTGCCCTGCACTTGGAAGTCAATTCATTTGAAACCTGAGTTAATGGAAATAGAACCAGAGGGAGTTTTTATGAATAAGAAAGCGAAACAAAGTTGCCCAGAAAAGTATTTCATGGGGACAGTAACTCTTAAGAACAATTGATGTAGCAGCACTGAGTCCTGGTAAGAACAGTGTGAATCCAATCGCAACTTTTCAGAAGGAGATAAGCTATTCTAAGGCTATTAGAAGCGAAAACATTTTCCTTGTTATTCTCTAATTCAGAATGTCTTTACTTATTCTAAATAGAATTTTCTTCAATTCCTTCAAATTAAGTGGAGGTTTTAATAGACCTTTGTAAATATTTAATAGGGTTTGAATAGCACTCTCTTCCTTTCTAGACAGCCTGAAGGCTTTTCTAGCGGACCCCTTACTTGTAAAGGACGGATGGGTTATTTGCTGTCTGTTGGCGTGGCCGACTCAGCCAACAGAGAAAACAGAGGAAACAGACAAGGCGGGTCTGTGGGTCTGGCCAGCCATGCAGCCAGGTGGGAAGACGGGATTTAGACCCTGCTCTGCCCCAGAAGCTGCGGGTCAGAACCCCTTCTCCCTATGTACACTGCCAAGGTTACCACCCCAGATGCACAGGGACCCAGAGAGAAGAGTTTCTGAGTTCATCTTGAAGGATAACCAAGTAAGACAAGAATTTTGTCCTGGCCCAGGTGACCCTCGCGTACCTTCCTCACACACCTGCTCCCTCTGCCTGGCTGAGATGGGACCAGCTCACCTGAGCAGCAGGGACTCCTGGTAGAGGTAGTGCTGGCTGGCATTCCTCCGGATGCTTTTGTAGCGCTGGGATGCCTTTGAGGGTTTCATGGAACCCCACCTGCTGCCAGCGATGAGGAGCTGGCCAGGAGGCTGGGGAGCAGGGAGCTGGCAGGCAGGGGTCTGTTCCAGCCCAGGCTTGTGAACGGGAACTGCAGAGTTGTCTGTCCTCCAGGTCTTGGGAGCAGGACTGCGCGGCTGCAGCTGGGGCTCAGGCAGGGAAGGAGCCAGAAGGCCAGTCATGCATACGTAATGTCGAGGTGGCCCCAGCAGAGCAGATTGGCTGGAGGCTGGAAAGCCAAAGGTGGAGGCTTTGCAGGTGAACTGGAGGGTCATTCACTGCTCTCCAGACACGCATGTTGGTAACCCCTGGGTCCAGAGGCAGCTCTAAGGTTTGCAAAACACTTCTTAGCTATTGCCACGGCTGGTGCTTGCCAGAGTGCAAAAGGCATGCCTTGATATTCCGTCTCAGGAAAGAGGCTTGGAGAGCGGCAAGATCTTGCCTGTGTGCACCCAGCAGCACGCAGGAGAGCCATGGTCACCCCACGGTCTCTGTTTTTATTTTTTCCTCCACTTCCTTTTATTCTATTTTGAAAAAAGTTCAAATGCACAGAAGTATTGATGGCAATTTGTCTACGCCTAGTCTAGATTCACTAACTGCCACGCTTTGCTGCAACTGCTTTATCTTTTTAAAGAATTATTTTTTTATTGCAATTTATTTATTTTACTTATTTATCTTAATTTGACCAGAGAGGGACAGAGAGAGAGAGAGAGAGGGAAAGTGAGAAAGCGAGCTGCCAGGTCCGGGACTTGAACTGTGGTCAGCCACATGGGAGTCCAGTGCTACACACCACCTGCTGGCTCCACAATTCCCTTATTTTTCCCCTTTACATCTCTGAAAATAAGTTACAGAAATAACACGTCAGCCCTACATCCTCTAGCCTGATAATAATAATTTTTATCAAATTAACGGCTTATTACATTTTACATGATGATCCTCTAAGACAGAGGCTCAAAGAAATAAAGACGCTCCCTACAGTTTCAGGGTAAGGAAGTAAAATTCTGAGGGAGATCAGACTCTCACCGAGACATTCTGAAAATAAGTTGCTTGTGGTAAAATGGGACGTGTCACTACCCTAGTCCTTGGGCAAAGTCAGCAGCTCCCCCTCTGCTTCCCAAGTCAAAGGCAGAAGGCACTCTGTCCCCTTGTCACCTGCAGGTTCCCAAGCACTAGGGTTCTCTGCCACTTTATCACCAAGCCCAATCCGTGTCCACAATCTAAGCCTCTACTGGCCACATAACACACGGCGTGGTTGGACTGTACTGTGGTCCACTGTGCCTCTGTACTGAGTGGGAGTGGGAAGGTTTGGGGCTGACGTGGAAACGACACTTTGTGCTGCACATTCCGGTCAGTGCACACCAGGGACACAACCAATGGTTGGATAAATGAGTGGGCGGGCCCCAGACAACAGAGCAGAAGGAGATCTATGAGCAGCTGCAGATGTGGGGCTTGGGAGAGAGACTCTGCTCACTCGTTCATTCAGTCCTCCATCAATTCCTTAGCAAATAATTAGGTTGTTTTTACCATCTGCTCCACAATGAATTGTCTAAGGCAAGCCAGAGTAGCCCCTGCCCATGATCCTGGGGTTCAGCGGCTACGAGGCAGGTGTTCGGATCCAGGGCTCAGGCAGGGAAACAAAGCAAAATCCCACAAGCTGGAACTGGCCTTGGGTCAGAGGTGGACCTGCGGGCCTCTGAGACCAGGGTGCTGCTGTCTCACAGTTCGCATCTTTAAGCCATTTGGCTTGATGGTCTACCTAACAATGCTGGATAAATGTATGCTTACTGGGGCCGGCAGGTGGCATGGTGGTTAAGGGCGCTGGACTCCCACATGGCCGACCACAGTTTAAGTCCCGGACCTGGTGGTTTGCTCTCTCACTTTCTCTCTTGTTCTCTCCCTCTTTCACTCTACTCCTCTCTAGTCAAATGAAAATAAATAAATAGATAAATTAATAAAGTTAAATAAAAATAATTCTTTATAAAATATACATATGCTTATTGGGCCAGTCTGTGGCCTGGCGATTAGGGTGGCTGGATCCCATATGGTTGACCATGTGATTGGAGTTCCAGACACGGCAGCTTGGCGATTAGGGTGGCTGGATCCCATATGGTTGATCATGTGGTTGGAGTTCCAGACATGGCAGCTTAAAAAACATGCTATGAGCATGTGTGTGCACATGTCCAAAATCTCAAGAGGAGGGAGAGATGAAAGAGAAGGGATTGGGGCATGGTGACCATTCCTCACAGGGCGGAGGGAGCCTCTCTCCTCTCTCTCTCTCTCTCTCTCTCTCTCTCGGCTGAGTGCATGTGCGCTCTGGCCTATTTTGGTTTTAAGTGTGTGCTTATCAAAGGACAAGGGGCATGTACAGTAAGACCATTTCTAGCCCCACTGAGATTTTCTGCATCCTCTTAGAGATCTGCACTTGAACGGCCTATTTAAGAACAGTTGAAAGATTTTATTTTCACCCTAGTTTTCCTTAAGGCCCTTACTTTATCTGAAGCAGTTATTCAACAATTTAATATATTTATGTTGATCGCATGATTAAATACGTTGTGTACTTGTGTTTCTTTTTTGCTGTTATTTTATTTGCAGGGAGAAATAAGTAAAGCTTATAGCAAACTTTGAGGTACTACAGGGATTTATTAAAATAGACTAGTGCAGGGACCAGCAGGTGGCATGGTGGTTGAGGTGCTGGACTCCCACATGGCTGACTGCAGCTTGAGTCCTGGACCTGGTGGCTTGCTTTCTCACTCTCCTTCTCTCTCTGGCTAAATTTAAAACAATAAAAATAATAAGGTTAAAACAAATAATTATTTTTAATTTTTTTAAATTTAATTTTATTCATTGTCATTATTTTATTTTTTTGAAGTTGACCAGAGAGAGGGGGAGAGAAAGTGAGAAAGCAAGCCACCAGGTCCAGGACTCAAGCTGCAGTCAGCCATGTTGGAGTCTAGCTGCTTTAACTACCATGCCACCTGCCGGCCCCAAAACAAATAATGCTTAAAAAAAAAATAAAAACTAGTACAAACGCAATTTTTTTCTCTCTCTGTGAGTGTGTGTGTGTGTATTTACTCAGGTAATTGTATTTGGCAGTTTAGATTAAATACAATAAGTTGATTCAAAGTAATTTAACTCCATATTTAGTATTGAAGCCATAAATTAACAGGGACAATTTGCCATATTTGATATGAATCAATTATTCTAGTACCTTTCTGCCTAATAGTAAAGAAATGTACATATTTAAACATTTTTTAATGGAAGTAGTGCATTATCATTATATTAAAAATGGAAGCACTAGGAAAATTAGAAACAGGAAAAACTAGCTAGAACAATATTATATATCTCTGGAGAGACAGAGAGAAAGAGAAAGAAAGTGAGAAATCACTCCCTTCCCCAGGGAGGATGGGCACACCACAATTCCTTCTCCTCCAGGCTCCTCTCAGGATCTTGCGGACACACGCACACACACTCGGTGTGTTTCAAGCCACCAGGTTCAAGACTTGAACCGTGGTCGACTATGTGGGAGTCCAGCAACATAACCATTACACCATCTGCTGGTCCCACGTTTAACCATTTTGACTATTAACATTTCTAGGTTTTACCAGGTATACAATTTTCTCAATATTTGTATATTTTATTATATACATTTATCTTCACTTTTCCATTGACTTCATCTGTAATTTTCACATCATTTTAAAATTTCTGTGGCACATTTTACCAGTGAGTAGAATATTCTATCTAGAACATAAAACATTCAGTCTGCTCCCTTTTTCATCCCTCTTGTCCAAACGCCCATTTTTTGCCACTGTGTTTTCTTTAAGCGTCATTTCTTTAGAATTCATTTTCCAGAAGAAATATTCCTGGGTCAAAGGGAATATCATTCAAAAAGAACGAAACTCATTACGTTGTCAAGTGAATGCTGCTCTCTTTATATTGATTTCATTTGTGTGTTTTTTAGTATTGGTAAAATGAGTTTTTTCATCAAAAACTCATTGTGTGTGTCAACTCTTTATGGTTTTCCTGGTCTAGACTGAATGATTTTTAAACATCCCTTCGAAGCGCCCCGGCCTGCTCTCAGGTGCCGTGTTCCAAGTGAGACTGTGATCGCCACTCCCTACTCCCAGCAAGAGGGACTCAGACTGTCCCCATGTGGTCCCCACGTTCCTGCTTCTCTGGGTGCCAAAGAGCCAGACACAGAGAGGAAACGCAGAGCGGCTGCCTTCTGAACGCACGGGAATAATTACTCCGTGTGCCTTGGGCTCCCTCTGAAATCTGATTAGAAGCTCTTGACATGCTGCATGATTTTAAGTTAAGGCAGAGTTTTTATATAGATCAAATGACTGCACATACCGTAAAATTAACAGCTGGAGCATTAGAAAAATCGGAACGGGACCAAACAATGTCAATGGACTACGGTTTCATTTTCTAGACCCACTGCTTTCAAGGGAGCACACGCTCACTGGAGACATGGAGAGAGACAGACAGAAAGCAAGAAATCACCCCTTAGAGGGGATGGCCATGCCTCAGTCCCTTTCTCCCCTTTTTCCTCTTGGAATTTTGGGCACACATACACATGTGTTCAGCATGAATTTCAAGTCACCTGACCTGGGACTTGAACCGCGGTTGGCCATGTGGGAGTCCAGCACCTTAACAACTATGCCAACTGCTGGCCCCAAGCTCCCTTTTCTTAGATATCCAATTTGTAGGTCTGGGTTTCACCAGGTGAACCTTCTCATTTCTGAGATATATTTACATACCTGTGAGATTGTGTTAGCAACTCTAAAAGCTTTCATAGAAAGTTTAGAAATATTCTTGGAGTCTATAGAATTATTGAAGAAAGAGAGTCAAGAACAGACCGTTTCCAATGATCTGAGTAACAAATTTGCTAAGTCATGAGAACTTAATATTTTTTTTTTGAAGGAATCTGCATGAAATTATTAGTGGTCAAATAAGGTTGAAATTGAGCAGACACCCAGAGGTTTCCATTAGGGGTCATGCGATTTTCTGTTACTGCTTCAGAGAGTAGGGAGAGATTCAAAAATGGGCTGCTGGACTCAAATCGTTCTTTGCTACCGTCACCCGTCACAATAAGTGAAGACAGACTGCCACCACCACCATGGAATCCTTTAAAAGGGGAACCTGACTGTCACTCATATAGGTTGTCACT